TCTTCATGCAATTTGATTTTTAACATAGAAAAGCTGTCTTTTTTTCATCTTCCAGAAACTGGGGTTTTTTTCTCTTTTTGAGTTTTTATCAAGGGAATGAAGCCTGCCTGAGCCACTCTGAGTCACCTGTGTAGAGTTCGCCGTTCTTGTTCTCCTTCAATGAAGGTGGTGTTTCACAAACATGAGCTTCCTGTTGAAGATTTCAGCTGTAAGGGAGACTAGAGAAAGGGGCTCAGAAACACACGAAGGAACTACCGAGAGACAGGGTTTTCCACGAAGCAAAATAATGGCTGTTTTCTTCTTTCTGTGACTGAAAACATTAACTAGCAAGAATATATGTCTTCTTTTTTCAATACGAAGTTCTCCTCACATGGAGTTGTGGTTTGGGGACAGACAACCCTGAGACTTAAATTGTAGATTATCTTCCCTTTCTTTCTCCCAGAACTTCTCAGACTTCGCTGTGCATACGAATCACAGAGATAATGTTATAATGCAGATTCTGATTATACTGGCCTAAGGTATAAGCAAATGCCTGAATTTCTAGCAAGCGCCCAGGTGATGCTGTGCTGCTGGTCAGGGACCACACTTTGAGTACTATGGCTCAGGACAGCGTGATGATAGATGGGAGGAATATGATGAGTGGCCATCATGACCCCTGAGCTCCGTGTTACCTAATCTGCGTCCACGAGATGGGGCAGCTTTCCAAATGTATCATTTCCAGAATTACCACGGAGAGCTGAAATTAGTTCATTTCTGTTTCAAATATTGTTTCACCTCCTTACCACCACCAAAAGAAGTAAAAAAAAAAAAAAAAATTTTGTGCAATTAAAAATTTTAAGTAGAAAAACTACCTTTGAAAGTCTTCTCAGGGGAGATTTTTTTCTGCCAGAGTATCTAGAGAGTCAGCTAATGGGCCAGACCCCAAGAGCAAGTCCACAGAAGAGGGAGGACGTACTACCACACAGTGTTACAGCATGAAGATGATGTAGACGCCATTCACAATCGTGAAATCTGTAAAGGAAACCGGGTATACTGGGTGTTAATGACAGTAATGCAAGATGTTTCTGGCTTTTCTTTCTTCTGCCTTGTCGGTTAATGACCAGGGCTTTTTGTAACTAACCCTTCAAGTGTCCTCCTGCCTTTTGAACAAAAGAGAAATACCTAACAGACAATAGCAGGAACTGCTTTTCCGGAACCCTGTATAGTTTCTAATTTTCCTTAATGCCGGAGAAATTAAAAATGCCATTAGTTCTCAGAATAGCTACAACCATAATTACCTGGACATCACAGAACAGTTCTTCTCAAACTTCAATGCTGTCTGTCCTAGGAAGCTTGTTAAAAAGCAAATTCTGATTCAAATCGGTCTTAGGTAAATCATGATTCTTTGCATTTCTAACATGCCCCCAGATCATGCCAATGCCATACAGAAGACATTACTGCTTTCATCCTGAATGATGTCAGGTTCTACACACACATTATCTCGTTATAATTAAAACTTCGATAGGACAAGATGTGTTTAATGGGAATTAATTCATAATTTACGAGTTTAAAACCACTACGACTTTCAAGGGGGATATTTCCCTTATTATCAGTAATTGCTATTAATGATAATACTAATGGCTGCTACTGTCCTATGTTGGTCTCAATCTCTGTTATTTCAGTCTTCTGAAGAGTTAGCATAGGCGAACAATTCTTCGGGGCTGAAGGCTCCTATGTAAGATAAGTCAACTCCCTTCATAATAATCCTATAAATCATGCCTTTGAAAAAAATCATTTTTTGCCATTCTCATCTGAGAGTAATTTTTTTCTTACCCTAGTTTCCAATGACATGTAGTACAGGGATATAATAATAGAAAAATTAATCTTATCTATAGGTCGCTCAGAAGCTGTCTATCAACTGATGGGAAGTGAAGACTCACACAGACCACCACCCAGAATATTACAGAGGAGAGAGAGGAGAGGTTAAGATGAAAGGGAGATCCTAAATGCTGATAGAGGAATTGGAGGATTCTAGTAAGAATTAGAGTGCACTGAATTGCAAGCACTCTATGTGGCATTTAAGCAGGAAGCTGGGACTGAAATGCTGTGCGCCCGGAAGAGACGTACGTGAACACATACCTGATCCAATGTCAGGAATCTCTTAGATTCACCACCTAGCATGATATCGAAGCTCAAAGACGCTTACTTCTTTTCCCAAGGGTCTCCTTTTCCCACACTTCCATTCTGCCTCAATCTTGGGGCTCTTTTCTGATCACTCAAAACTTAGAGTGGAGCCAGATCTTAGAAATACTTGCTTCATCCTATAGGTTTGCTCTTAGGTGACAGCAGAAGATCGTATGCCTCATAAAGGCAGAAAGTTATCCATCTGCTAGTGAAGTGAGGGAGAAGCTACAATCAGGGGTTTTAATGTGGGCTTCCCACAAATGGTAGACAATACAACTTGGGCTGCTGATACCAGGTGCAGAGGGAATTTTCACCAAAAGAGTCATCCTTATTGGAAGTTTTGTATGTGCAAATTGTGTTTCTTTCAGACACTAAGAGTTTTTCCTGCACTGCCCACTTTTAGCAGAACTGTAAAATTCTGGGAAACAGGAACTGAGGAGCAAACCCAGTATCCAGAATGGAAGTTATTGTGCACTGAATAGATGCTTCTTATTTCCCTTAAGGAAAAAAAAAAAAAAAAA